GTTCAAATACACCTGGCAGAGCCACTCCTCTACGATTCCCCGATGAAGAAAGCGATATGTCACCATTGAGAAGTCGAAGTAGATGTTCACCAGCTCTCGTGCTTTATCAAACGGGGGAAGTGAAAAAGTCACCTGGCGGTAGTCGGAGTATGGCTTATCACCAAACATGAACACCGAGGTGTTCCTGGGGGAGGACTCATTCTCTAGGCTATCGGGAATTGCATGCCCTTCATCCTGATGTAGGCGACGCCAAACTCGATTGAGAAAGGAGACTCCCGAGGCAGGCCCTAGATAATTGCCTTCGAAGTCGGTCACCGCTGGGTCAGGGGAGTTGCGCTGAGAGACCTCGTTTCGACATGGAGGCTGCTGAGGCGAACCGGCAGGTACTCTAGGAGACTGTCGCGCAGATGACGAGCGTCGACGTCCCAGAGCCCCGTCTATTTGGGACTTTCTCTTGGCACCGGGACTATATGTGTGACCGTCCGTCACTGAAGGCGGTGCGGGGAGGGGGTCTGGGGGCAAACCCCGGGAGTAAGCGGCATTATACTGGCAGGACAAATCCAGTCGCATGCACCTGACACATGGAAGTGTTCCCGTACAGCGCGTCTTCTTCTCTTTGCAGTGATCACAGGCGCGCGTGATCTTCTGACGTTGTCCATTGGAGGCCTTGACTGGGGAGTCCGACGCCCTTCTTGGGCGTTTTGCGGGGATCGAATCATCGGTATCAGAGAGGCGACGCCCAGAATTTATCAGGGCGTCTGGGGACAGTGCACTGTCCCCAGATGCTGCCAGGCCTGTGGCCATGGATCCAATGACTCAGGTATTTCTGGTGGACTCTGCTGTTGAGACATGAACGGTAGATGAGGCTGGATCTTTTTCCGCGGGAGTAGGAATGGGGAAACGGAGGGACTGAGCGAGACAAGCCGACCCCAGATCTCAAGGGTGGAGAGACATGCAGGAAGCATCGGCCGGGGGGGAGGGAGGAAAGTCTCCGGGGGAAGTGAGAAATCAAAAAGAGGCAGGAAAAAAGCAGTGGAAACTGGAAACAGAAAGTGAGATTGAGGGGGGATTGCGGGGGTCCGAGCCGAACCATCGGAGTTCCCCCGGACTCCTCTCCGAAGCTTAGTTTTGCCATGAAATCATGAATTTAGCTGATGTTGGCCACAATGTAGATATTAGTGATGGACGGGAGATCTAGAATTGAGAGCATTATGATACCAGAAGAGGAGTGACCTTGCAACGAGAGAAAAGATGGTTGCATGTACCTTCTCGGTGCTATGTATCTCGCGATCACGTGATCTGAAGCCAACTCCCATTCAGCATCCGATCGCAGCAACATTGCGAAATACCGAAAGCCTTCATTGAAGCATCAGCTGGAACTCAGTTCCATATTCCCTCATAATGTTTTTCCTGTGTCCCCACTGTTAAAATATGCAAGGGAGAAAGAGATTAGGAAAGGAAAAGCCAGCCACCACAACGCGGGCGGGGAAATTTCCCCTTTGGCACCACCGCCCCAAAAACAGTAACACTCCGGCTCTATTTCAACCTCACCTCTTGGGACAAACTCTGCAGCAATGCCATTAGCTGGCCATAAATCCACTCAATTTTCCAAAATGGAGCAACAAGATGAGAGATCATCCAACGGGGGTAGTGGAAAGGCCCCAGAAACCAAGCTATTCCAGCATTCGTGGCCTGAGGTGGGTGAACCAATTCCCGTGACTGGCGTACCTACTATAGACACTCTGCATGTATCATGATCACCATTTGCCTTGTCCTGAACGGCGATATTATGCTTCTCATATTCATGAACACTGTAGATGGCTTACACTGTTTATCATTACTATCAGATTTCTAAACAACATGATATTATGCTGTCGTCGCATCTAGAGATATTGCACCAGTTGAAGAGTCAAGTCCACTCAGACGGAGAGGAATTCCAACTGGTATCCAACATGGTTGATAAAACTAAGAGATTGATTGCTCAGTTTGATATACTTAAGAAACGTGTGGTAGGTCGTAGCTACCTCCTTCTTGCCTACGTCTGTCCGTGCTGTGGTTAACCAATCTGGCAGGTGCCAAGTGAGTTTTTTTCTAAGCTTACCCGCTTCCTCTGACGGGTATAATACAATACCACAGCATGGTACAGAGAAAAATGACCACCCTTATAGAACTCAACACGGCAACTCCAGAATCGGACGCTCGTTCGTCTGAATCCATGTCGACGTCAAGAAGTCGAAAGGAGCTAAAAAAAGAGCAACTCAAACGTCATGCCGACCACATGTATGACCCGGAAGAAGACGGAGGGGCAGCAGCAGCGGAAAACCAAGACCCCCTGACTGCAAGGTCTCTAGCTGTCCACTCTAGCAAACGAAAACGTATCGACGAATTTATTCCAGGAGCCGATGAAGACATAAGGCGTTTCTCACCTGTATCAGTGGAGACCGAGGATATCTCAGAGGAGGTACAGCGAAGACTAAAGATCAAGGAGGAACAACGCAAAAGGCGGGGGACCTCGAAAGTGGACAAACGCAAGAGGGACAGTTTGACATCTAACGGAAGCACATCTTCGGCCAGAACCGGGACGAAACACACTAGGAAGAAGGCTAGAATTGGGACGAAGTGGAATTGTTAGCCGATGATAAGTCCGGATCTGTAACCCCAGATTACCCCGGGCTTACCCCAGAATTACCCCTACACTTTTCTCATCACTATTTTTAGGCAAGAGCCAGGCAGACCGAGTTCGTCAAGCAGGGGCCTAGCCATTGGGTCATACTATTGGCTAGCCCTATGTACTATATCCAAGAACCTTATTGTTAGCGGAAGAGATATTAATAGTCCGTTCCTGGAGGTCAGCCCTATTAGGCCCATGGTAGACCACCAAGATATTTTCTATAATAGTCCTTATACTTCGCTCCGTTGTAATGCTGAACTCAGGTATACAAAGTTTTCAAGAGACGCTGGGGGTATAAGTAGGCCCCCCGATTTCCCAGGGCCATTCTGAAATCTTTCCTCTCTCCAACGTCCCCGAAAAAACCGGATCGTTCAAACCAAATCTGCTTTTAACTGTTCAATCTGCTTTAACTGTTCTGCGTTGCTTTTAACAAATCCCTATACTACAAACTCCGAAATCACCTCCATTCTCTAGAGATACGAAAAACATCTCTACAAATCTGCTTTTATTGTTCTCCTATACTCAAAAAACCGAAACCCACCTCCTACTTCTCGAGAGATCCGTACAAGTCTCTTCTATAACCTATACTTCTTACATCATCCATCCACCTCATACTCCTCGAGAGATCCGAAAACGTCTCTCCATATATATCTACCCACCTCTACTATCTCTACTATTCCTCATCACCTATCTCCCTCTATTCTCCTCCTTGAACCAGTCAACATGGCTGCTCCTCCCGCCTCAAACTTCTTCTACCACACCCGCCCCGGCAAACAAAACAGCCGATCTCCTCCTCGTCGATTCAGACCTAATGGACCAAAACAATCTCCTCCGTCCATCCGTACCAACAACACCTCCTCCAACGCTCCTCAACACCAGAGGCAGCCGAACCCTCACTACAAATCACATTCTGGCATTTCCAAGCCAGCACCTCGAAAGCCTCATCGCGACGTCGAGGGAGACATCTCCATGACCGACATTTTCGTCAAGCCTCAACCTCAAAGGAGGCAGCCTCCTCCAACCAAGACCCAACCAAACACTGGCCGTAAAGCCAACTACATCAACAACATCAACAACATCAACAACCGCAAATCAACCGACGGGGATACCATCATGCTCGACGCATGCCCCATGTCTCAGAATCCCAAGAGACAATTCAACAATATCAACAACACCAACACACCTCACCAATACCGACGCGGCACACCCATTCAGCCCGCCCCTAAGAGACCATTCTCTAAGGACTTCGATGGGGACACACCCATGTTCGACATCCTCGACATGGTCCCCACCCCAGTCAATCTACCCGTCCTCCACCCGATACAGCTACCATGCTATCCAATAACCAACCTTCCCGTCGACTTAGACGGCGACTCCATGATGCTCGAAGCCTTCTAAGGCAGTAAGTACCCACCTGAATCTTCATCAACCTGCATACACACATACTAATATATCCTAGGCATCCCAACACACCAACCAGGTCTAAAGGACACCCAGCGGAGGAATTCAAGAAAATCTGGGAACTTCATGTATAACATGGATTTGTTTTGATTATTTTATTTGTGGGGACGTACAAGTACCAGCATGCCACAAAGAAGGGGGCGAACTCAAGGCCCAAGCGGAGGAATATCTATGAAACTTTGGGGGATCAATCTTCTTCCTGTATTTTTCTTTATACTACTTTTATATTATCTTTGTGGGGACGATTCAGCGAAGCATGTTATCATTTCCTTTTTGTCTATTGTCATGTATGGCGTCGTGCACCCCGGTCCAGGTTTTCATCCTATATCACTGAAGACTAAAGACGGTGGTAGGTGTTTTCCCTGGACTCTGCCTATCAGGTTTGCCCGAATGGGGGGGTTGCCTTAGCCTTTAGTTCTACTCTTGAGTTAAGAGATAATCGAAAAGGATCTCACTCGCAGTTTGGTTTTTTGTATGTAGTTGTAGGATGTAGTCTACAGGTTGTAGGCTGTATGTATGTGTAGGGTTGAGGTACTTCTGGTTTGATATAGTACTATAGGAAGGGCCGTGTAGTGTCAGGTGATTTCTCTGCTTACGAGATACTGCAGCATTAAAAGCAGCGTGTCATTTAGTGCCTCCGTAGGAGTATGAGTCCCTAGAAAAATGATAAGATCATGGTAAGATATCTTTATTACTATAGTAAAGTAGCTCTTTTGTTCGGTCGATTCAACCATGGTTAGGACCTAATTACTGCTATGTACCTATGGACAGCACAACACCTCCGAATCCGTCATTTCGCTCGCTTTAATACAAACAAAATTAGAATGCAAAACGGTATAGAAAACGTGCAACCCCTTGCTTATCCCAAAATTGAGCCCTTACGCTTCAACCGCGCCGGGAGAGATGGCAAGGATCACAACAAAAGCGGTAACAATCAGAGCAGCAGCTACAAAGGCTGTCAATGCGACACTGCCACGGCTGGCCGGGAATTTGCCCCTAATAATCCAATACTGGCTTTCAAAATAGCGGTGGAATCCAACCAGTAGAATCAAAATTGCAACTCCAATGAAAGTAGTCCCTAACGGCTTACCGATGCTCCGAAGGCGTGCAGAGGCAGATGTCACCCCTATTGGCGTGGAATCATAAGCAGCAGATGGCAAAAGATAGTTTTGAGCGGAAAGATTGGCATTCGCGTTCGTCCCGGCACTATTGAGACGAAATAATTGAGTTACCGCGATGCCAATCGATGCAAAGGCTAGTGATGTCCGCAGCCATGCCAAAAAGGTTCGTTCTAAGGGAAAGAGATGGAATCCAGTTAACGAGGTCGTACACGGACGGGGTGAAAAAGAAAGGAAAGAAAAGAAAAGCAACAACGGATTAAGCATACCCAAAGCGAGATGATCTCGGGCCACGCTGCCTTTATTTTCTAATTCCAAGCTTCCATATCTATCTGCCAGCCGGCTATACCACGAGCCGTGCGGTTCTTCCGAGTCACACTGCGGATTCTGCTGACCGGGATCCCGTGAGACCGTGTTATTGTTTGTTGATCCCGAGTCCCTGTTCCGTAGACCGTCGGTAGAATGATAGTTGCGCTGAGATGTGTCAGAGTTGCTCACGATCGGAGTGACCTCGTTGACAGGTTGCGATTGGCCCTGGTCAGGCACGGTGACCGTTTCGAAGGCAGCCATGCGGTGTGGCTCACGATGAGACGAATGGGATGAAGATCGTTGCGTGGGAGATAAGGCGTTGGCCTGCCTGGCGTAAGGCGCGGTCAAATCAGAGGATTCCATGATGGCGTGCTCGCGGGATCGCAGGGTTTATTAGACTAGATAGATGCTAGGGCGGGAGTCTGGATCTTTTCCTCAAATGGATCAGGTGGATAGATAACTAGCGGATGTCCCCAGCTTCTGAGCGGTGGAGTTACGCTGATCGGATCCGTTGTACGAGCTTGATAGATAGGTAGGGGACATCCACACTGTGATAGCGAAAGGAAGGAGAGAGATTCAGAAGGACTGTCCTCAGCTCGTCCCCTCCTCCTTAGTGTGTGTGTGTGGCATGGAGCAGCCTGATGGGAAAGATGAAAAATTAAAAAATTAATTTGTTCGCTCTTTTCCTCGAACAGGCCATCACGCGCTCCAATCCAGAAGGAGTATAGCCAGTGGTGTCGGACATGCAGCTAGTCTCGCCGGTGATCACATGGAGCGATCGCACTACGCCTTGCTGGGCCATGGCGTCATAACCCGCGTTCAACTTTGCTTGGTTGCTTCCGCGGGTAAGCGGTCAGTCATCTGTCGGCCAGTCGGTCTAAGTGATGCCTCAGGCCAGTAAACTAAACACATATTCAAAGCCCATGCACGCTGGTGACCTGTACTCGGTAGTAGAAGATTGCAACCGAAAAGGAAAAATCAATACATCAATCATGCCTCTAGGCATCAACATCCAGTACTCTCCCCTCTTCCCTTCTCCCCAGCCACTGTGGCTCATTGCGAGCTGGCTGCAACGCCATCCCATCCTCCATTCCCACATATTTATTGCACCATCCAATCACATTCTGATACCACACTAGACTGTTCTCCCTCCCCAGGACAAAATGATTCTCATCCGGGAAATTCAAATACCGTGTATCTATTCCTTTCATCCGACAAACGGTATAAGCCGCCGATGCGGCGGTGATAGGGCACCGGAAATCTCGATCTGAATGAATCAGAAGTAGTGGCGTCGACCAATTAGTGAGATACTCCGCTGGGTTGTACCGTCGCCAGATCTCCTTTACGCTGTGTTCGTCACGGGTATTATCCGGGGCACTGGAGAAGTACGGCGAACCGAAGGAGCGCGTCAGCTCTTGCACTTGACCCAGATCATCACTCAGAAGTTCGGAAACGACGTCGAAGATGCCGTCGTGGCTGACCAGAGCCCTGAGCCGCTTGGCGAGAGGCTGTCCTGCCAAGAATAGTGCCAGATATCCCCCATAGCTTCCGCCCGCGGCTACGGCTCTATCAACGTCGCACTTGGTCGACAGATTTTGTTCGACCCAGTTGAAACAGCGCTCGACATCGTGGTAAGGGTGTCCTCCCCACTGCAGTGCGACTGCTCGTGCAAATTCGCCCCCGAACGAGTCGGACCCAGTGAAGTTGGGGATCGCAACGATGTATCCTTGTTCCGCTAGGAGAACTGCATTCCAGCGCCATGTCCAGGCGTCCTTGTTAGCGGAGTGGGGCCCGCCGTGCATAAAGATGAATAAAGGATGCTTTTCGACCGACGTGGCGTCGTACCAGGATGGCTTCACGATCCAGCACTGCACTGGAGTCTTGCCATCCGGTCCCCCAGGGAATGTTATCGATTCAACTTGTTTGTCCCGAATTCCGAAATAGGCTCCGTGAGAGGAGGATGAGTGGATGATTCGGCTGCTCTGAGATACAGGATCATTGTCTACAGGAGGAGTGACAATTATGAACAATCCCTGATCTATGAATGATGAAGAGGTTGCCAGTAACTGGCTCTCCGAGGAACTCCGACCCAGCCGATACAGTGATGAGACGGAGCCAGGGATCTCTAAAGCAACTGGTTCCACACTCTGTGCTCTGTCTTGAGGCGTAGTGATCGGGAGAACCACCTGGAATACACGAGCTTTTGCTTGATGGTTCGCAGTCAGATACAGAGACGTGCCGTCATTTGCCCACAGAATGTCATCTGGGAAGACATCCCAGTTCTGACTTTGACTGGATGAACTTACCGTCCGCAGGATTGATACTATACTCAACTTCTCTGTGTTTAGCAAGACAATGCTCTTTTGCGACCACTCCTGGCTGTCCTGGTCAACCAGAAAAGCGATCACTGGGTCCCGAGGCGCAAACCTCGGGGCTGCTACGATATCTGCATGATCGGGAACCTTTATTTTCTTCAGCGCAGGTAACTCGGTCTCCTCGAAGGTTGACAATGGAAGAAAATATAAGGAGCTCTGCGATCGTCTCCATTCCGTGTCCACTGGATCTGCTGTTGCAAAGGCAATCCCATAAGATGAGATGTCGAGATCCGGGGAGCTTTGTGAGTTGGAGTAAAGGGGTACCACTAGGCCTGTTCCTCGTAGAGCATTGACAGGGCCTTTGGTAGAAAGCTGCCACTGTTTGGAATCCAAATCAAGCTTCAGGACTGTATACCAGATAACCGATCTATATTGGTCAACATACGTGTCCCATCTTTTGGGACGACTATGAGTCCATTCCCGGGCGGTCGTATGAGCCTTGTCTGCTTTGAGGGTGTTGTACAGATTCTGTTCGGCATCTGCGGGTGCAGTGAAGACTAGTGCTATGTCACCGTTGTCCAATGATTTGGTCATCAAGTTCCCTGGTTTAGCGTCAATAGTACCTGCCAAATATGGTCTGATAAACGTTGTCAGAAATATCAATACGTCATGGAGAAGACAGTCTTACCGGGTGTTGTGGTAGGCATCGCCAATCCATAATTCGGTGTTGTTCTTGGCTTCTCTTTGCCAAAGAAGTGATGAACCGGACAGCCAGCGAAACGAAGACTCCTTGGGATCATTGGTGTATCGAGTGGACTCGCCGGTTTCTAAGTTGAGCAGCTTGACCTCAGAGAAATCTGCGTGAGTGTCAAGATCGTATGTTGAGACAGTATAGATCGCCACTTTTCCCTCATCGTTCGGTACTGCTGATGATGGCCTTGGGGCGGTGATCAATAACCTAGCGAGCCAGTGGTTAGAGCTTGGTACTTCCAGGCTTTGTTTAGACTAACAGATGGGGATGCGTACTCCGGAGTGAACTTTGAATGTTTCGGCATTGTGAAAGGCGATGAGAGTAGTGATAGTGCTGATGAAGAAGTCAGACCGCACAAGATGGACAAGAGTGGAATGGTAACAACTGCAACCAGCAATTGAGGGGAAGCCCCCTCTTTCAATAGTACTTTGATAATAACCGGAGCTCCGATGGAGACTGACTCAAAAGCACGGAGAGGCTAACCAACCCGAGTTAGCAAACCATACTTGAAGGATGCAAAGGATTGGGGAAGTAAGTAAGCCTTATTAACAATCAACCTGTCGTACGGCCACATACAATGTTCATGTTATAATCCATCTAACTGAGATACAAACGTTGTTTCATTGGCTATGGTCAAAGTGCGCCAGGCACACTAGAGCATGCCTGGACCCTCAAGTGAAATTTCGCTCGATTGCCTCGTCATTCTTAGTGACACTGTCGCCTTTCCAATGGCGTGCTCTATTATCGAAATTATAACAAATTCACATTCTTGAATCCTTTCGTCCGATATGTTTGAACATACTGACATCTCTGTACTTTATGGTTTTGATATAGCTTGGTAAACTCCAGAGGTGATGATAGACGCCGGTATGCTTCTATAGCACGCAAGTCTCCGTAGATGGTGTAGTGATGGATTCGGAAAGGAAGGAAAAAAAACCGCTATTATAGTACCACTAACCTTTGTAACTTAGCATATAGGAACTTCCGCTTCACCATTATTTACTGGCCTGAAATACTCGGCCATGGCTATTATTACAATGAACAAGAAAGCAACATGTAAAATACAAAAGACTTTAGAACCATACTGATGATGATGATGATGATGTTGATGTAGTACTACATACATAAGAACATGACGTGCTATTTAACAGTAAGACAAATCTCGTTGTCGTAGCGGCTATGATTAATCCACAAAGTCTAACTATGATACAGTTAATCGGACATCAACCACTCCGGGATGGCGTCATGGTCTTCTGGGTCTTGCGATAATAAAGAGGTCTCTTCATCGCTATGGGTTTCTTGGCTGGTGATGCTAGGGGTCGGAGAGCGGGAATCATCTGCTTGTACAGCGATCTGAGGATGCGTGGAGTCCGAAATTGCTGTAGTGGATCTGATGATGGCGGCCTCTGAGTTCTGCGGAGCAATCTGCGGTGTGATTTGCCCTAAGCTGTCTTTCGTCCTGTCAGACAACAGTCCCGGATCCTTACTCATGAGGTCTTGGATCGGGGCTGTCTGGCCTGCAGATTCAAGCTTTGGAGTGACAACCAGGTCATATTGAGGGAGTACCGAGCGATTCCTTTGCAATTTTATGGCGGTACTATTTGGCTGAGGTGAAAACACTTGGTCCACGCTTGCTTCAGGAATGAAGCCCCCACCAAGCATGTCCGTCTCTGTAGCCGAAAGAGACAGGTCTCTGCCTGTACTGCCTGTAGGCCCTGAAGTTTCATCCCGAGAGGGGCCAACCCAGTCCATTACAGAAGCCGGACTATTTGTCTCTTGCTCCGACTCCGGAATGAAGCCGCCGCCTAACTCTTCCGGGTCCTCGGATTCCTTCACGTTTCCGATACTTCCCGGCTCATCTGCCTCATGTTCACCTTCCACTGCATAGCCTTTGACTCTCTCTGCAATGCGCAGTTTCAGCAGTAGATGCTTCCAAGTCTGCAGTGTTTCAGCAGATTTCCTATCTAATTCAGCCTGCAACTTTTCCCCCTCCAGACAGTTCAGCACTTCTTCAAGTGCTTCTTGATACTCAGTGGCAACGATAATCCCCTGCAGGATTGCGGTCCCATGGCGCCCCTTGAAGCTGAAACCGGTGACAGCATCTGCATAGTCAATCGCAAGGATCTTAGCAGCTTGACGGGCATCGGGATGAGCGATGTGCACACCGCCTGGAGGCACCATGCTGGGTACATAGACATCCAGGTTCCCATAGATATTCTTGGGTATTCTCCCTCCAACTACTGGCGGGGGCTGATACACTTGTGTCTGATAATAAGCGTACAGAGGTGTGTCGGAGACAGAGTTATCCTCCTCGTCACTGGGCCTCCCCATCTGTGGTTTCCTTGAGGTGACACGCTTCAACGGTTGCTCGCCTGTCTTAATGTCGCGTCCCAGGCGATACCAGCGATCTGCACTACGTAGAGCATGTACATCGGATCGGCGATATACGGGCTCCAAAACCTGATTCTTCGACGCTGATTTACCCAGGCTAACCTGCCCGATGATCCGTTTAGGAAAGACAACCTCATGTCGCCGAAGGTGCCTTTCAAGAGCATAGACAGGGTGGTCCTTGAAGTCTTGGATATTCCGGGGCATTGGTTCAGCCGCTGTCTTGGCAGTAAGCTCGCTAATTTCCAGTTGGTCCCGGTCTTCCAAAAATGGCTTTTCATAGAAACGCAACACTTTGTTCCACCAGTTAACATGGTTCCCCACGGATTCAACTCGAAGTTTGTGAGTTTTGGAGTTGAAGGCCTTCGCATAGCGCCTGGTGACATCTCTAACAGAGGCATCATCCTCAAATGCGACCACATAGCTCAGAAGATTGTAAGAATCGTTTGCTGGAGGTTCGAATTTAGAAGGCTTTGCCATAGACTTGGTAACCAAGGCATCGACAGGTATCCATTTATTTACTGCTTCGTTAAACGCTTCAATCCAGAATACGGGGTGTGATGATTCACGGATGGGCCGAGGGAAACCTTTGATGTGCTCAGCTTCATGCTAGCTTTAACAATAGGTGCCGAACTTACTTTGAGTAGGAGTCCCAGGGCGCCTGGCTGGTGTGAAGTGTGGCCGGGCTAATCTTTTCACCGTGGACCGTTGTGACGTTTGCGACTCCTCAGAAGTTGGTTGGGTAAACTTTTCTGAGAATTCAGACAGCGGAGCAGGTGGTGCCGCATCCTTGGTTTTATCTCGGAATGGTAATGGCTGCAATGAGCAGACGAGTCTTGTTTCAACGCCCACGGACCGTAACAAAGCACAGAATAACTGGGCGCCAAAATCACGAGAACCTTGCATTGTTCGTGCTTGATCCACAAAATCCTTCCTCGAGAGGAAGACCTCGGCATCACTTATTATGGATTCCTAACGAGAGGTCAGATACATTTGTGACATATACAACACCAAAGTCAGTTACAATACCACTCGTTGTTTGATACCATTAAGATCAGCTATCCACGAAGGTCGTCTCAGTCCTGGTTTGGTTACCTTAAACCTCCGATTAAAAATATCACTGGCTTGGTTCAATCCATCAACGAAAGTTGTTGACCTAATCTGTTGTGGCCTGTTCTCGGATGGATGTAATAGTGAGATGATATTTTTCGGCAATGTCCGTTTGAGGAAGCCCTGTATAATGGAATCAAAGTCAGGTAAAAATTAGTTCTCTATTATCATATTTTATTCGGTCTCCTTTCCCTTGGCCGCTTTCCCACATGTTCTTTTTTAAGACTCAAGCATGTATGCCTCTTTACCAGATAAAGGTGGCTGAATCGGAATCGGACGTACCTGTAATTCCTCATCGTTGCACCAGAGATTGCGTATCTGCACATGGCGGAGAAGGCAAAGTAGATGAATTTTATGGATGCTTAATCGCAACTGCTTTTCGGCAGCGGTGATCCCCCTCCGCTTGGTAACTACCTTGCGCTTCTGATCCTCGGGCAGACCCAGGGTGACCTGAATCGAGGTATCGTCCGCGTGAACTGTATGTGGAGCTTGCTGAATATCAACTTCTTCCCATTCCAGACCCGATTCTTCGGATGATGATGGCGAATCATACACCGTTTGGACAGGTTGTTCTGTAGAATAGCTGGCTTCTGGAGTAATAGCACCACCTTGATGTAAAGGCTGAAGTCCGGATACGGGATTCGTGCGGGTAAGCCTCCGTCTTTTGGGTAGTCGGGTATCATCTGGCCTGGAGGACTCTCTAGCTTCAGCCTCTGCCAACATCTCCCGGTAGACGTCTGGAATCTCATGATCTTGGTCTCCTCGCTGCCGCCGAGAATGGTTCAAAGCAGCTCCGGCTCTTCTGGAGCGAGTAGTGGGCCCACGACTCGCCATCATAGAGTGCCAGGCGCAAGGTAACAAGACCAAATATCAGCATATGCCTTAAGCATTCTACTGTACTGGCTTTAAATTGTCGCTTGCCTTCTTACTCGGCAGGTGCACTGATGACGCTTATCCAGGCACGTGACATCATGGTTCACCCTGTTTGTCAGTCATCCGGGCCGTGCATTGTTCCGCGCCCTGCGGCTGAAAGCGGGGAGGAGGCTCTGTTTGTTCCTGTTTGTTTATCTTGCTTGTTGTTGACTTGCCGCGACCGCATTAACTACTACTATCACGAGATCCTCCGTCTATACCATATTGCTAGTCCGGCCTCCACCCCCTCACTATCTCTCCTGGCTCGACCATCGCCATGGAGCTTCTCAATAATGGAACAGACTATACCATTGAAGATGTGTGGACATTACCCCAAGCCTACAATGCCTAATGCAATTGTGTAAGCTAACACGCGCAGTGCCAAATGGCTCTCAAGACAGCTTTCTTTGAGCGCGAATATGACAGAACACTCGGGAAAACAGCACAACTCCTAGATGAGGAAAGGCGCCGCATCCTTCACGTCGACCAGCTTCTTCTGCGATTTGATAACGAAAACCTCCAACTGCAACTGAATCAATTCAAACAAGATCTATCACGAGCTAGAAATGCCGAGTCGGATATTCGTAATTGGCTGCAGGATACCATCCGGGAACGCGATCAGTTGAAGAGCTCAGCTCACACTGCAACTCACGAAATTGAGGGTCTTCGAGTATGACAGCACCCTCCGTCTTTGGAAATAGCCTTTATTGACCAGGGGTTTCCTAGCGCGAATTGGCATCAATGAACAGCACAACCGCCGAATCTAGAAACCTTGTTACCGAAAAGCTGCGCCTGACCAAGGAGCTGGCTAACATGCAGTCGGAGGTCCACAGACTACAATTGCAGGAAAATTCCTTCCAAGCACTGGTTACTGAGAAACAAGAGCTTACCCGTCATTTGAATACACTTAAGGTGGAATTTGAGAATGAAAAGCGCGCACACAGGTCCACTATGGCGCAGGGAGCACAACAAGCCGATGAAATATCTGTCTTGACTGCAAAGCTTGAGGAGCAACGCAAGCAAATTGCAGCAGAGGCTCGAAAAGTGCCTGCTACTCAGCAACCGAATAACATGTGGCAGTCGGAGAAAGCTGTCCTGGAAGAGAAAGTTGAATCTTTGAACAGGAAATTACGGACCCTAAAGGATGAGCTGCGTCAAGCTCAGACCAGCAACCGAACCAGCCGATTTGAGACCAGTAACAGCAATGGACCTGTAGAGCAAACAAGAAAAGTCCCCCTTAAAGACTTCTCATCCAGGTTTGACCCTGGATTGGATATCGCGACGCCGGGAGCAGTCCGTGTCAAGGAAGGGAAACGGCAACCTACTGCAGTTCCTGGCCAGAAATCTGCCTTCTCTATCACGCCATTTCTCAATCGCACCAATGGAAACCAGGAAACCTCTGACGATACTCCAGACAATAGAGCGGGTGCGGATCGTCTCGGCAGCGATGATGAATCTGCGCTGGAGACTTCATACCTCGAGGACAAATTACATGTCAAGGAATCTGAAGCCGAGCCACGAGAACGCCGCCCTATCCAGGCAAAGCAGCGTTTGGACAAACCTAAGCCGGCAATGAACCCTAGAAAAGGAAGCGGTTTGAGGCTAGATGATATTGATGATGACAGTGATATCGGATCCATTAGCACTCTTGTTGCGGGTCAGCCGCAGGTGCGGACGAAACGCCGCAAGTTAGGGGCGCAGAGTAAGACTATATTGGATGAGGAAGAAGAGCTAGAGCCTGAAAATATTCGCAAACCGGGAAGGAAGATTGGTCTGAGTACAGGTCACACCAGCAGCTTACAGACCGCCCAAAGTGGGCCGCCTCGTGGCTTTGGTGGCTTCGGCGGATTCTCTCCCTTAAAGAAAGAGAGGAAACGACCGTAAGAGTCAGAATCGAGCGTCTCCCAGAACTCGTCATTCAATCTACTTGATACTAGTCTTCCGCGTCTTTTCTTGCGCAGGTTCCACCATAATAATCTAATTCTGTGATACTTTGTGTCAATTCACATTGTATTTTGACAAAGAGGTCAGATACAGTCCTGGAACAGTTTTCATGATGTCCTCTTTAACATTGAGGTTGTGCTGTCACGTAGTAGTACGTAGCATGAGTAATTCTAGACTGGGATAGACTGTATTACTAATGTGCCACTGGGCATAATCAACCAATCAGAAGCTATAAAGATGACGCCATGGGAGCCGCTTGACTCATGCCTCAGGCTGCCACGTGCTCCGCCTCCGCAATAATGCCGAAGATAAATTATTAACCCAAGTACTGCCTCTACTGGCATTGTCCGTGTCATCTCTTCTCTGTCATTCATAGAGTTGCTGTTGGCTTATGATGAATCCAATGGCTGCAGGCCGCACACTTCCGAGAGCTCTAAGAGCTTCTCGGCTTCTCAATCAGCATACGAGCTTGTCTACAATTACCGGAAGTCAGCGAACCCAAGTCTCTTTATCGGCATCATGTCCGGCAACATACAGGGCCCTACATACTACCCGATCGCAAAAGTCGACCAATGCTGCTGCGAGGGACTCGTCCAACCCCGCCATGTCTTTTCCGTGTCTCGATGCGCAGGATGCAAAGTCTGCCCAGCTCTCCGCACGATCCCTCCAGTCAGGCCCCGAACCTTCATATACCACTGGCCATCACCGAAAGTTTCACTGCGAACAACCCTTACTACTTGATTGGGGAGGTATACTTCCAGAGTTTGACATCGCGTACGAAACATGGGGCCAGTTGAATTCTGACAAGTCGAATGCTATCTTACTGCACACCGGTCTGTCCGCGTCCAGTCACGCCCATAGCACGGAGGCCAACCCCAAGCCCGGCTGGTGGGAGAGATTTATCGGGCCTGGGAAACCTTTGGACACAAACAAGTACTTTGTCATCTGCACCAACGTCGTTGGAGGATGCTATGGTAGCACAGGGCCTTCGTCAGTGGACCCCTCTGACGGAAAGCGATACGCTACTCGGTTCCCTATCCTCACAATTGACGACATGGTTCGGGCACAGTTTCGTCTCCTGGACTCACTTGGCATTAACAAACTCTACGCCTCTGTCGGATCCAGCATGGGCGGTATGCAGAGTCTTGCTGCCGGTGTTCTTTTCCCTGAAAGGATTGGCAAGATTATCAGTATCAGTGGTTGTGCGCGAAGCCACCCCTACAGCATTGCCATGCGACACACCCAGCGACAAGTACTGATGATGGACCCGAAATGGGCCCGTGGTTTCTACTATGACTCGATTCCTCCGCATTCTGGAATGAAGCTGGCGAGAGAGATCGCAACCGTGACATACAGAAGCGGTCCGGAGTGGGAGAAGCGGTTCGGGCGCAAACGCGCAGACCCTAACAAGCAACCTGCTCTGTGCCCAGATTTCCTCATTGAGACATACCTGGATCACGCAGGAGAGAAGTTCTGCCTAGAATATGATCCTAACAGTCTGCTATACATCTCCAAGGCAATGGATCTGTTTGATCTCGGCCATGCTCACCAGACCGAGACCAGAGCTCGAAGAGCCGAGTTTGAGGCTAAAATTGCTGACGGCGGAAAGGCCCTGCACGAAAGCAATATCTCATGTAGTCTGACTCTCCCAGAGGAACCTTACGAGGAGCAACCCTCTGTAACCGCCTCCGCTCCTGCTATGGACCAGGCTGTGGGAGGTGGTGATATTGGAGCAGATGCTCCCCCGCAGGACCTTGTCGCCGGCCTTGCGCCGCTCAAGAACCACCCGGTTTTGGTCATGGGTGTCGCCAGTGATATCCTCTTTCCGGCTTGGCAACAGCGAGAAATCGCCCAGACCCTTCGGGCTACCGGAAACAAGAATGTCGAGCACATTGAACTTGGAGAGGACGTTTCGCTCTTTGGGCATGACACGTTCCTTCTGGATTTGAAGAACATCGGCGGTGCGGTAGCCAAGTTCCTGTAAACAACGCAATCCGGAGCAACTGTTTGATTATCTTTCTATCATGTGGTAATTAAGAAAGCGGGCGATGATTGTGTTTAGCGCGATGTTGTTGTCTCATTTTATTCCACGACTAACTGTATATATTACATATTACCTCATTCCCTAGATACATATCACACATCACGAACGGAATACGATCATCCCCCTAATCCTCGTGGAAATCATTTCCAACTCCCTAGTTATTATTAGTTAACTCTGCTAGCTACTAGTTAGTCTCCTGTGGATTTACCTAATAGCATGGCTGTCCCGAAGCGGTAAGGTCCCACTGCCTCAGGGTTCAAAATGTTCCGAGCCGCTTCGGCCAATGACGATGTCTGAATTCCTGGGTTGGGATGCCGAAAACGCCGACTCCCTCTGAGCGGAGCGCATCTTCCGGCGCGGTGCCAGGAGACCTACGGCTTCCACTTCCCCAAGTCTTTCTCTCACCCCTCTTTGGTGCTTCTCGTCGTGGCTGTCCTTGGATGGCCTATCTCCTATCTTGGAATTGATGCTTCCCCACGTCTAATGGAGCTGTTACTGTAACTATGTCTGTGCTCTGTTGAATACAGTTCCCGGACAACCCGCACGACAGCTCCACGGTGGGCGAAAAAGAAAAATTCAGGACAAAAGGAAAAGCTACGATCTAGGCTCGCCTCCTTTTTAATTCAATGAGCTCGCCTTCAGGCCGCTGAATCCTCAACCCTCCGATCCTCACAACGTCTATCATCTCCCTGAAACGCCAGCTCGACAGCTAGAGTGGGCGAAGCCCTGCCCAATTGCAGTGAGAGACCTGGCCATTGCGCTCGGCGAAATACCTCCCTCTTAGCTTGTCTTCGACCATCTACGACTTATTATATTCAACTGCAACACCCTTCTCATGGTATCCGTCACTAGTGGGGGCCCAGGGCTTGAAAGCCCGACCCTGTCCGACTCGCGAAGCGCCGGTCCGGCCTTGTCGTCACGATCTCCGGAACGCAATGAACATCGGAAACCTCAGGTACCCAAGGCATTGGCTGGGGGCAGTGCGCAAGACAAATATATACAAGGCATGGAAACTGAATTCAAATTAAAGCATCTA